TTGTTCTCCGGAGAGGACTTTGAAACTCAAATTACTCAAAAGTACACAGTAAAAGTAGTTCATATTATTTTTGCAAGTAGTACTAGAAGTACTAAGTACAAAAATGGCAGTTTCAGAAACTACTTATGGAAGAAATGTTTTTTATCCCACATTAAAGTTGACAAAAATGCTCATTCTTGTTCTCCAGAGAGGACTTTGAAACTCAAATTACTCAAAAGTACACAGTAAAAGTAGTTCATATTATTTTTGTAAGTAGTACTAGAAGTACTAAGTACAAACATGGCAGTTTCAGAAACTACTTATGGAAGAAATGTTTTTTATCCCACATTAAAGTTGACAAAAATGCTCATTCTTGTTCTCCAGAGGGGACTTTGAAACTCAAATTACTCAAAAGTACACAGTAAAAGTAGTTCATATTATTTTTGCAAGTAGTACTAGAAGTACTAAGTACAAACATGGCAGTTTCAGAAACTACTTATGGAAGAAATGTTTTTTATCCCACAATAAAGTTGACAAAAATGTTCATTCTTGTTCTCTGGAGAGGACTTTGAAAGTCAAATTACTCAAAAGTACACAGTAAAAGTAGTTCATATTATTTTTGCAAGTAGTACTAGAAGTACTAAGTACAAACATGGCAGTTTCAGAAACTACTTATGGAATAAATGTTTTTTATCCCACATTAAAGTTGACAAAAATGCTCATTCTTGTTCTCCGGAGAGGACTTTGAAACTCAAATTACTCAAAAGTACACAGTAAAAGTAGTTCATATTATTTTTGCAAGTAGTACTAGAAGTACTAAGTACAAACATGGCAGTTTCAGAAACTACTTATGGAATAAATGTTTTTATCCCACAATAAAGTTGACAAAAATGCTCATTCTTGTTCTCTGGAGAGGACTTTGAAACTCAAATTACTCAAAAGTACACAGTAAAAGTAGTTCATATTATTTTTGCAAGTAGTACTAGAAGTACTAAGTACAAACATGGCAGTTTCAGAAACTACTTATGGAAGAAATGTTTTTTATCCCACATTAAAGTTGACAAAAATGCTCATTCTTGTTCTCTGGAGGGAATTATGCCATTCTCAAAAAGTACACAGTAAAAGTAGTTCATAGTATTTGTGCAACAAGTTTATGAAGCAATAAGTCCTAACATTATTCTCATAAATTACCCTGTTCCTCAATCGCAAATAATATAATTGAACCACATGCCATCCTTTACTTTGAAATCCTCACCGGAAGTGTTCCTGCACATACGAAACGTCCAGCTTCCCAGGGTTGTTTTATTGCATTATCGTACACCTGTAACTAATCGCCCACTCGAAATACAGGGGCGGCTGGTTTGACCACGCAAAAGTGAAAGACGGCTGGTTTGACCGCAGTTATATTTAGCGGAGGAAAACAATTGTGACATCACTTACGCGACTCAGGGATTTGTAGTCTTTCTAGTTGCGTATTTTTCATAGTCTTATATTTCAACAGTTTTACGACAAACTGTGACTATTTTGACATGGAAATGATTTTTTAAGATTGACAAACATCATATGTGTAATTCGTGGCACAATTCAAACGGGATCAAAAGATAACCTTTCTCTCTCCATTGACTTCAATACATAATATTTTCGAAATAAGGTCCCATGGAGGTCCACCGGAAGGGGAGGGACTTCGCCACTCTATAACATTTCACAGAATTTAAAGATCAAGCAAAATGAGCTGAGGTTTAAAGTGTCATGGAAAAATGACTGAAAACGTATGTCTTTGTGATATTTAAATATTTTAATACTAAAATATTTTTACAAACATCTAATCCTGTTGTTCACCTTATGTTGTTTCAATTGTTAATCGATAAAGAAAAGAAAATGTAAATGATTATAGCATTGGGTTACAACTTTAAAAAGGTAAATGGGTCCGTATTCTTCATGAATATAGATAATATAAGGAAATGTACTTCGTATCAACCAAACTGATCCACAGAAAACGTCTGTTATACATATTAGCAACAAACTAACACATTGGAATGTTTTAACACTAACAATATGTTAGATAAAACTGAACAAATGCAGTAAAACACAAGGTTCCGAGTGAAAACCTGCCAGTGGGCTTTTGTGTGTCCAGTTTTCATGTTCCTGGTGTGAGCTGTGCACTCGTCCTGTTCCCCCCCACAAGGCGTGGTTTTATGATTTAAAATGTGTTAATAACAAATGGGGGAAATAAACCTTTTTGCAGTAGCAGCAGTGAAATCATAAACAGCTAAATACATAACATCTTTAGTGATTATACTGTTGGGTTTAAGGGTTTCAAACAGAATCAGATTAAAAAGTGCATTAGTTTCCTCCTTTGTTTCTCAAGCAGAGAGTATATTACCCAGCAGAGTTTGGGTGACTACATCAGACGTGCTACACGTCACAGAATCAAATTGCTGCAGTCAAAGATGCACTTCTGTGTGCAAATATTCAGCAGATACAACTTCATACACCAGGAGAACAACACTCTGCCTAAAGTACTGTTACTGATAATCCTATGCAGACAGCACTTCAATGTAATTCTGCTTCATATTGCATGCTAAATAATAAAAACAAATGCCTTAACACATGAAGGTAATTGTAGGGCTGATTTAGAGATTCAAGGTCAGCAGCAAACATGCAGATTCCCTGGGCTCTGCACAGATGTGAAAGTAAAGCTCATCATGTTGGAACTGATATCAGCCTGAGGAAGCATTATGGTGGACAGAGTGACACACTGAGGCAGAAACCAGTATGTGTTGTGATCTTAGATAAGAATGATAAGCACTGCAAACTGGTCACATCCAAACATTTACATCCACAGATTTATAAAGATTTCAATGCATACAGTATGTACATATTTCTATATATAAATAGACATGTGGAATGTATTTCATTTACATTAGCAAAGGCAGGTAAAGGTAGAGCATGTCCTCCGGTCATCATTAACATAGCATTCACTTATTTGATCACATTGTTATATTATCTAAATGGACAACTGTAGACTAAATGAGTTTTTTTTAAGTGGGAGGTGGGGTTCCAAACATTTGCAGCTGACTCAGTTAATGGATCTAAATGTAACATCAAAGAAAGATTTCAGAGAACAGCATGTGTGTGAGGTGATTAAAGAGACCATTCAGAGATGCAGTAGAGAATTGTACAGTTTTTCCTACTTTCCCAAAGTCAAAAACTGATTGAGTGGGTGGGCACCTTTTCCTAAGCTTTGTCTGAGTAGAGCAGACAGTCTCACACTTTGAAAATCCCTTTTGATTATTAATTGGAATTATTCAAATGTTACCCTGACCTGAGCCTCCAATGTAACATTTACGAACAATATTTATACAATCCTGCAACAAGCACAACTGCTGGATTGGTAGACCTTAACTCTGGTAAGCAATAGCATTTGAGGTCTACCAATCCAGATGAGGGGGGAGGATTTGAGGGCAACGGCTGCTGGGATGTTAACTCGTATCAATAACAGTTTGCCTGCCAGGTCGTTCTTGATAGCCCTCCAGCCCTAGCCACACGGAGACGGTTACGAAAACTAACCGAATTCGATATCAAAAAAGTCTTCCGTCCACACGCAATCGGCACCAGAAACGTGTCCGTCCACACGAGACCGGTCGACCCGCTGTAGTACATATGCCGGGCCTGTAAGTGGCGCTGTACTTCTGCCACAAAATACACCAAAAGCAGCGAAGAAGACTTCCCGAGAATGCTATTGCCATGTTGCCCTTCTGTTTATTCTCCGCGGTGGATTTAGCAGCAGAGGTGGGGAGAGGCAGGACGCTGGCTCTTTTTCTCCCTCCCCGAAGCAAGCGGGTGCTCCTGCTGTAAATCTCCCCAGTAGTCCACCAGCAGATGAAAAACACCCGCCTCTTCCAAGGGACGAGGGAACCGAGCGACAGAGTTTCCGTTATAATTGTTTTCTGCCGGTCAACATGTCGGTTAAAGTTGAAATATTCCAAAAAAAATGATATAAGTGCCGGTCAAAGGTCTTCTTTGTTATTTATTGAGCTTTAAAACAAATGACTAACGACTCTATATAGAGTGCCACAGTGATGCGTCCTAAAACCAGGAAGTAAGCTGCGCATGGGTTCCTTCGACAAAAAAGCAATGCAATTTCTCCATAGGATTTTGGAAAATAGCTCGAAATAAGGTCTGTGGTTGAGACATATTTAAGAGACGGATCACGTTTTGTTCCGGCGGATAATCTCCACATGTCTACCCTACTTTTATAAAAAAAAAATGTTTAATCAACTCCTGAACAACAACAAAAAGCCGGCGTTGTATCCAGCTTGTACACAACGATGTAGAAACTTAACAAGCAGCAGTGGTCCACTGAAGAGACCAGCTACCTACTGGGAATCTGGTCTTCCGAAGAGGTACAGAGGAAGCTGGAGCACAATCGGCCATTGTTGTTGTTGTCGGTGTCAGCTGTGAGGGGTTTCCGCGCGGTTTGGCTTTATGAAGCAGGCACGCAAACGATTACGTCATGACGCAAACGATGACGCAATGACGCAGCACCAGTCGGACTCTGGGCAGTGTGAAAAGAGCCGGAGCTAAACCGAAGAGCCGGTTCTGAACCTGAAAAGCTCTAGCACGGAGCTTGAACCGGAGTTGCGTTGGTGTGAATGAGGTATTGATGAAAGAGAACTGTAGCGTCTCCCTGTGGCTAGGGCATGATGACAGTTTTGTTAACAGATTAGTAGGCGCTGTATGTACTATGCTGTTATCCTGGTATAAGACTGAAGAACCAGTACCAGTCTACCATCTTGTAAAAGTGATTCCAATGACAGTGTAAAGAATTAAGAAGCAAGTATGCTTTTACAGAGAAATTAGAGCAAGGAAGTTTCATTAAATGCCCAACTTACTTTTGAAGTGATTAAAAAAAACTGTTAATCGTAATTAATCCTCCATCACAAATTGGCAAACATGTCAGTGTTAGAACATTTGGAAAAATGTGGTGTGCCATTGAACAGATAGTCTGGATTCCCTTGTTTTTTTTAAAGTTGTAAAGTAGTCTTTTAAGAATTGTATACATTTTCCATCAGACCATAGATGCACACATTCCTTTCAATTCTATAATGAATATATAAAATGATGTACACTTTTCAAGCAAGGAAAATGTGTGATGACAATTTGATGAAAGAAAATCGGCAGAGGGGCCTCAATCTCTAAATGTAGATACATTTAGATCCTTTGACAGAAATGTGAACTATTTGTCAATTTGGCAGGTATTATTAAATAAACTCACTGGTACTGAAACCAGCTTGGGTAACCTGTCCCATCGTTTAATGACACACTCATTGAGAAGCCCTCTGTGATTTATACTGAAAGAATAACCATGTGACCGTTAGCAATGAATGCTGCACCACTCGTCCAGTAAAGAAGTCACAATGTTCTTCTGTTCTGACAAACAGAGTCGTGTGAATCATTGTAGAAATGATCTAAGATAACAGTCGAGTCAGTCTGTCACGTCTTCTAAAACTCTCTCACGTCCTGACATGCTAACTCACTGTGATGTTTGTCACAGAAGAGAAATCAGACTTCATGTAGACACTTAAGAACCACAGTACGAGTGATGTGTGTCAGTTTACTCTCTGTAACATATGGCCACAGGTCCATCGGCCTCAACCAATGAGAAGGAAATAATGTCATTTAAAAATCAACAATTGATTAAGAACATCCTGTGCAGCCCTTCTCTGTCCCACCGGAGCAGATGAACAGTCCTTCCCTCACAGAGCCAGAAAACCTAGAGAGGCTGTTCAGAGTTTAAATCTAGAGCTGCTCAGTGATGGGAGCCCGAGCAGAAAGATGTTTCCCTCCTTCGGTTTCTTTCTCTCCACAGCTTCAATTCTTGCTGCTGCTACTCAGCTCCAGTTCGTTGAAGGCCGGATGGCACCCTTCAGAGAAGGCTTTGATCCAAACCAGGACATCTAAAACATTTAACACAGCAGACATCAGGTTAAGTTAGGATGCAACTCTTTTAATAAATGTACTGTATATATGGGTTCATTTCATTGAAGTGCTCTAAGTGTCATTAACCAAATCATTGCACAGACAGGTGTTTGAAGCTGCAGACTGAAGACCAACCTTGTACTCCAGAGTTTGTTTCAACATGTCCTCTTCCTCACGAGAGAAGTTCAGCAGCACAGACACAGCGCGTATCAACTGGAATGCCTGACAGAGCAAAACACACAGATTCAGACTTGGTAACAGAACCAGGGTCAGTCAGTCAACAACCAGCTGACAGAGATTATTTTAGCCTACCTCAGCCTCTCTACATGACATAAATTTGAGTACGACGTGTTTGAGATACTCAAAGTTGATTTCTCGTGAGTCGTTGAGGTCGGAGGTGTTGGTCACCGTGGTGTTGGAGGTGGGGGGGCTAAGCGTGGATGCTGGTGGCGGCTCTGGATAAACCCTCTCTGGTTTTTCTGCCCGGCTTTCTGGAAACTTCTCCTTCCCTTCGGCTTCTGGTTCAGGCTTAAGCTTCTACAGAGCACAACAAGTAAACACTGGTCGTTCAGAGAGTATTCAAACCTCTTCACTTTTCCCATTTTCTTATGCAACTGCCTTACACTGAAATCAATCTACTTCAACACTCCATCAGGAACAAGTAAGAAGAGGATTTTAGATGGACTGGGCATTAGACGGGGCTCTGGCTGGGCCACTCAGAAACATTAAGAGCTGTCCAGATCACATGACTTGTGCATGTTTCTCCAATATATAAAGAACAGGGGGGACTGGCCACAGACGCAAGAGATTTTTCTTTCAGTCTTTTTTAAATGATTTTCTCTCCTGTATTTATGACTAAAGTACCAGTGGAGAAAAAGCCAAAACAAAGACACAACAGATGTAACAAAACACAATATATGTTCATTGTGTTTGGAGTGCTGGAGACATTAAAACTCACCTAGAAACAAACACATGGTGATGGAATTAGTAGAAACACTATCCAGAAAAAAAACGGTCAACATTTGTAATCAACCTGTTTTCATAGATGACATTTTTTAAAGAAATAAGAAAGATTATCTTGGAAAAAACTTTTTTGAACCTGTTGTACATGCATCACTAGAATATTGTTCTCAATTGCCTCTCGGGGCTTCTGTTCTCTCTTATCATGGGGGTTCACAGTTTGCAGACATATTGTGAAAAGGAAACAGTGAACCTAAGAAGATCTTCAGTGTGTCTCACCAGTTCCTTCTGCAGCGTCCTCTTCAGTTCTGCCAGTCTCTGCTGCAGCTGCTTGATGGTCTGCAGAACAATGACAGTGTGTTCTATGTGTGTCTGCAGGTATGCGTTCATTAGGAATAATTGTTTAAAAGCTGGAGGAACAGAGTGGAGTAAAAAGATAACCAACCCTGTTCTTGTCAGTGAGCTGCTGCTCCAGGTCTCTGTTGACCTTGTGGATGTGATCTAGGTCATCCACCGTCACACTGCCGTTCTGATCCTCCTCACACACCTCGGGGCTGTGGAGCTGCTCTGTCAACGTTTCCACCTCCACCTCCAAGAACGAGATCTGAGCAACAGAAAGCAAACCACACGGACCAATCCTTCAAGTTCCATCAGTGGCACTGACCCAGTGTTTGAAAGTAAGTACATCTATTGAAGGACTGTACTCACTGCAATATTGAAGTACTTCATTGAGTAGTAACATTTCAAATACTTTTACTCCACTTTCTTTAGAAATTAACTATTGTACTTCTCACGCTACTATATTTTGACTACATAGTTTCTAGTTACTTCGGAGGTAGCACGGTAGCTACAGTGTAGTTATGGCAATGCAAATTGAAGTCTCATGCTTATTATGATATATTATTATGGATTAAGATGCCCAAAAGTATACAAAGTAATTTAAATAAGCTACACCTTAAAATGTAAATGAACAACACATTAATTATTATAATCCCGCAATACAATACAATACATTTGGCATAATGATTATTTTCAGTTTTAGTGTTTCAAATATAATTTGATGCTAATACTTTTTAACTTCTACCTAATGAATGCATGCATTTAACTGGTTACATACTTTTGAAAAGGTAAGGGTAAACTGATGGTGGCCCATTCAAAGAGAATGTAATAAATGTATTTACAGGTATGAAAAACTAAATGGGAAATTAACATTATTTTGAATGTCAAACTTATCTCTTAATGGAATAGTTTGGATGTTTTGTGTGCCGACCGCCATGTTCTGTAGGTCATACACTGACTATGGATGAGTAACTCATAAAACCACACTTCACAACACCCAAACTATCCTTTAAAACTTGAGCTTCTAATATTGAATACTGGTCTTCCTGAATGTATTTTTCGCGTTAGAAATGACAGGATGTGCCATACAAGAGTATGAATGCATGTGAGTGTGACCCTCTGTGTGTGTACACTGAGTGTGACCCTCTGTGTGTGTACACTGAGTGCGACCCTCTGTGTGTGTACACTGAGTGCGACCCTCTGTGTGTGTACACTGAGTGCGAGACCCTGTGTGTGTACACTGAGTGCGACCCTCTGTGTGCGTACCATGAGTGTGACCCTCTGTGTGTGAGACCCTGTGTGTGTGACCCTGTGTGTGTACACTGAGTGCGACCCTCTGTGTGCGTACCATGAGTGTGACCCTCTGTGTGTGTGACCCTGTGTGTGTGACCCTGTGTGTGTACACTGAGTGCGACCCTCTGTGTGCGTACCATGAGTGTGACCCTCTGTGTGTGTGACCCTGTGTGTGATACTGTGTGACCCTGTGTGTGAACCTGTGTGTGACACTGTGTGTGAACCTGTGTGTGACACTGTGTGACCCTGTGTGTGTGACCCTGTGTGTGACCCTGTGTGTGTGACCCTGTGTGTGAACCTGTGTGTGTGACACTGTGTGACCCTGTGTGTGAACCTGTGTGTGTGACCCTGTGTGTGTGACCCTGTGTGTGAACCTGTGTGTGTGACACTCAGAGGTCGCATTAACCGAATATTTTCCGTCAATGACGGATTTTTTCTAACAATGACGGAAAAATCTGAAAGCAGTCCGTCATTTTGACAGATTAGAACACAACTCAGCGCCAAAATGCCCACCAGCGGCCCACATTATATTACATCCTCAGTGGCCAGGTGGACTGAGGGCGATCTACTGTACTCTACTGTAGTCTGTAAATATTTAGTCATTCACACCCCTGTCCAGTTGGTGGCGAGTGTGTGTATATTAAGTAGCTATTGTCTAGTCTTGTTTTTGACCTCGTTGATTACCTCGTTGTTTAACTGGCTTTAGCAATCACAAAATGTCACGGCAGCTGATCGTCCGAAGCTTTTTTAATAAGCCCAGTAGTTGTGATGATGTGCATAAACGAGATGAAAAGAGGGATTGATGCGCTGGAGGATGAAGGACAAGCCAGTAAGACTCAAACTGACAGCGTTCAGACAGCGGCAGAGGGGCAAGCCAGTGGCAAGGAGTTCAAGCGGGAGTACCGGGTTCAGTGGGAGCAAGAGTTTAAGTGGCTGAGGAGGGGAGATGGCAAAGTGTTCTGCAACATCTGTAGAAAAGCTAAGATGAGTAACGGATTTGTCCGAGGGTGCACGACGATGCAGAAATCAGCGTTCAGGCTACAGCAGGTCAATTGAGTTGTTCTTGTACATTTTTTGTTCATATTCTGATTGTAATTGTCTCATTTGAAACGATGGCATTGTTCGTGATTTGCCTGTTGGCACAGTGGGTCGTGGTGTTTTTAAGCGGCCTCTGCCCCCCTCTGCTGTGCTGTCAGTGCAGGAACAAAGAAATCATTCATGTTCGTGTTTCACATGAAAAAGTGACCACGCGGGTCGGTGGCTCTGTTCATCTTTTTTTTTTTTCTCCATGCCCTTAGAAGCTCTGTATGAATCATTAAAAAAAAAAATGAAATGAATGACATTTGCTGCTCAGTACCCAAACATAAATAATTAAATATGTCTCATCCTCAATCATTAAAACATGAAAAATTAAAATGATGGATATAATGGATTATGAACGGAAATTTTACGATCCTGGTCAAAAATGACGGACACGAAAAAGTCTAATGCAACCACTGGTGACACTGTGTGTGAGACCCTGTTGTGTGACACTGTGGTGTGAGACCCTGTGTGTGACACTGTGTGGTGAAGGACCCTGTGTGTGACACGTTGTGTGAGACCCTGTGTGTGACACTCTGTGTGTGAGACCCCTGTGGTTGTAGCACCTGTGTGGAGACCCTGTGTGTGACACTGTGTGTAGACCCTGTGGTTGACAAACTGTGTGTGAGACCCTGTGTGTGACACTGTGTGTGAGACCCTGTGTGTGACACTGTGTGTGAGACCCTGTGTGTGTGACCCTGTGTGTGTGACCCTGTGTGTGACCCTGTGTGTGACCTTGTGTGTGTGACTCTGTGTGTGACACTGTGTGTGAGACCCTGTGTGTGTGACCTGTGTGTGAGACCCTGTGTGTGTGACCCTGTGTGTGACCTGTGTGTGACCTGTGTGTGACCTGTGTGTGTGACCTGTGTGTGACCTGTGTGTGACCTGTGTGTGACCTGTGTGTGTGACCTGTGTGTGACCTGTGTGTGTGACCCTGTGTGTGACCTGTGTGTGTGACCCTGTGTGTGACCTGTGTGTGACCTGTGTGTGTGACCCTGTGTGTGTGACCCTGTGTGTGACCCTGTGTGTGACCCTGTGTGTGACCCTGTGTGTGTGACACTGTGTGTGAGACCCTGTGTGTGACACTGTGTGTGAGACCCTGTGTGTGACACTGTGTGTGAGACCCTGTGTGTGTGACCCTGTGTGTGTGACCCTGTGTGTGTGACCCTGTGTGTGACCCTGTGTGTGACCCTGTGTGTGACACTGTGTGTGAGACCCTGTGTGTGACCCTGTGTGTGACCCTGTGTGTGACCCTGTGTGTGACCCTGTGTGTGACCCTGTGTGTGACCCTGTGTGTGACCCTGTGTGTGACCCTGTGTGTGACCCTGTGTGTGTGACTCTGTGTGTGTGACCCTGTGTGTGACCCTGTGTGAGACCCTGTGTGTGTGACCCTGTGTGTGTGACCCTGTGTGTGACCCTGTGTGAGACCCTGTGTGTGTGACCCTGTGTGTGTGACCCTGTGTGTGTGACCCTGTGTGTGACCCTGTGTGTGAGACCCTGTGTGTGACCCTGTGTGTGACCCTGTGTGTGACCCTGTGTGTGACCCTGTGTGTGACCCTGTGTGTGACCCTGTGTGTGACCCTGTGTGTGTGACTCTGTGTGTGTGACCCTGTGTGTGACCCTGTGTGAGACCCTGTGTGTGTGACCCTGTGTGTGTGACCCTGTGTGTGTGACCCTGTGTGTGTGACCCTGTGTGTGACCCTGTGTGTGAGACCCAGTGTGTGACCCTGTGTGTGAGACCCTGTGTGTAGGTGCTGACCCGAGCTTGGCAGGTATCGAGATGCTGAGTCTGGCTGAGCAGCTCCTCCCTCAGGCTGCTGAGCTGGGAGTCTTTGTCCAGCTCCACCTGCGCCAACTGCACTCGCTGCTGCTCCACCTCTGCCTGCAGCTGCTCCAGGGAGGCCTGCCGGCACTGCACCTCTGCGACACATACACACACAAGCACCATCATTTATGAAAAATGTATGTTTTATTAAAAGAACCATTTAAAATCCAAGACTTTACATATAACACTTTTATACTGACAAAACCTGCAGAGTGACTAGCAACATAAAGAAAACTTACTGTTTTAACAATGTTTTAATTGTCTTGTGAAGTCCACTTCTAAGATGATTTGGCTACTCTGTGCAAGCATTTCAATTTAAAAAGCCTGTAACACTGCTCTTAGATCAAAGATGCTTATAAGTATTCACAGCTCCAGTGTTTTTCAGTCTTGGAAGGTTGGAAAAGAAACAGCGTTGAGACCATCATGTAACGTTAATTCTCTCTCATGAAATCCATGCGTTTTATTTCATGTAGAGTAAAAGGCATATTACTGTGAAATCAGATGACTAGTTTCTGAAGGGGAACTGAAGCCAAAGTCACACATACAACAGTGATGGAGGCAGCCTTGGACAAGCATCCCCCGTTGTCTGTGATGTTAGAAAATATATAGATTTTCTTCTTTTCAATGGACTCAATACAACAAGACAACTTTTTCAGTTCCCCGTTGAAACATATAGATTGTGTAGCTGTCCCACAGCAGGAGAAAGCCGTGAAAATACTGTACAAGTACCTCATACAACAGAACTGCAAAACAATCCCAATTAACCCTTTAACCTGACTATGGAAGCACAGGACCTTCAGGTGGACATTTCTTTAAAGGATGTGAAGAGTGAGAGCTAGTGTGTGTGTGTGTGTGTGTGTGTGTGTGTGTGTGTGTGCGTGCGTGCGTGCATGCGTATGTACCACTCTGAAGCGTTTCGATGTCTTCTTCTTTCAGTGATAGCTTCTTATTGACAGTGGACACCTGCTGCAGTGAGCTTTGCAGGGATGCAGTCAGCTCTCCAACCTGACACCAAGCAAAGGAAACACTTTTTATTACACTGCACAGCTGTTACACTCACACACAGGATGACAAGCCGCTCTGTATTTCTTTTACATTGTCTTACACTAATAATAATAATAATAATAATAATAATGCATTTCATTTTTTTATTAGAGTGCTTTTACAGGTGCTCAAAGCGCTTTACAAGTACACATTACACATATTAGACATGTAAGAGCCATTACTGTGGACATTACCCACAGGAGCAAATGCGGGTAAAGTGTCTTGCCCAAGAACACAACGGCCTGACGCTATGGCGGCCGAGGCGGGTTTCGAACTGGAGTTCACAGCATTCCACTATAGTTCTGAGAATCTTTATTCTTCCCCTTATTAGTGCGAATGCTGTTTACAGCATTCCACTATAGTACTTCAATTTCTTTATTTCCCTTACTTCAGCCAATACTTTGGCTCTTCATAACTTCAGCCTACTTAGAGCTACAGAAACTATTCAAATATTAAACTATTCAGCCTTTTCAGCAATTGATGGGAAACTTTCAACTTTTTCAAAATATTTCATACTTTTTGAAATATTCAGCTTTTTAAACTCTTTTTTTAACATGGAAGTCAATGGGACGACTCTTCAAATCCTCTTTTCCTACACCTTGCGCCAAATGCTTCACCTTCCACATACTTTCCGCTTGAGACTTCATTCCAACTTTAAAATGATCACAAGACCTTCAGCTATAAAACTTGTTATTCGGATTCTTCATATCTTTTACGGTGTTTGACTTATCAACGTTTAAGTTTTGGTACAATTTCAGGCATTTTTAGATTTTATAATGGTTGTCTATGGGAGGGACTCTTCAGGGCTAGAGTGTGTGACATCATCACTTAGAGTGTACAGAGTCTTAAAAATCTTCGGAAAAAATATTTTAAAACTGCTCTCAGAGCCAAAATATACACTCAATTCAAATAATTTCAAAAGATTTCAGGAGCATAATTAGTCTGGCCTGCTCAATTGCCTTCATCATATCAAACGGACACACCGTTCTGGCCCAATAGTGATCTGAGTGACAAAAAGTCCACCTAGCTTCCAATAGACTCCCATGTTAAATTTGACCGGAACTTTCTTCAGAACAGAGAGAAGTCCACTTTAGACAAACTGCTCCCATCTTCACATTTTACACACAAAACCCAAACAAACAACATCATTGGGGTTCCCTGATGCTCACTTTCTGGTCATTTTTTGATAGGAGCAATAGTTTTTGAACAGGTGGCAAAATTGTCAGATATACTCCTCAATGCATTCTTAATGGGACTCAGTGCTGCAGTTGGTTGTCATGGTGTTGCTGGGCAGATTGAAGCCACATACACACGAGTGACATCATCCAATCAGAGCAGACACCATGGAAACCTTTGATCTCTGGGTTTACACACACAGGTGTTTGTAAACATTCAATCACTACTACTTACATTTTATATCTTTATTTAACTCCTTCAGCCTCATTTCAGCTGCAGGAACCATTCAAATATCAAACTATTCAGCACATGATGGGAAACTTTCAACTTTTTCAAAATATGTTATACTTTTTAAAATATTCAGCTTTTTAAAGTCTTTTTTTAACATGGAAGTCATTGCAATGCATTTGAG